CTAGGACTTCAGTCCACTTTGCTGCTTCCCACAAACAAATTGGGCCCTTCTGGTGCTGGCTCCTGGGCAGGTGGGCTTGTGTACTTTCTTGAACTCTGTGTGAGGCTGAGAGAATCTCCTGGCCTCAACTCCCACAGGTGTTTTCAGTCGGTGCCTTCAGGCTTTGTTTCCCTGCGCTGGGTCCCTGGGTTGCTCGGTCTGTGTTGCTGCCCGTTTTTGCTTAGTCTGTCTGCGCAAGACTGTGTAGCTGCAGACAGCCTGCTGCCTGGTGCACCTCACTGGGTCTGATCGTTGCCTCCCACGCCCAGGGTCTGCCACTGGTTCGTCAGCTGCCCCTGTGCTTCTGCGGTCCGCCAACTGCTATCTGCATGCTGCACGTGCATCTGCCAGCCACCGATTTTTCCTCCCGGGACCCCTTGACCCCTCTCCGTAGGCCTCCAACTCCACCCCTCGTTACTGGTCTGGATGTATGGTAGTCAGACTTCTGTTTGGTTCATTTCTCTCTGTTCTGGTTGTTTTTTGTTTGTAAATTTTTGTTGTCCTTAGTTTTGGTTGCATGAAGAGGCATAGTGCGACTACCTATGCCTCCATCTTGGCCGGAAGTGACATTTTTTTGATCCACTCATTTACTGATGAGCACTTAAGCTGTTTTCAGCACTTGGCTATTGTAAATAACACTGCTATGAATATTGGGGTGCATCGGTTCTTCTGAATTGGTGTTTTGGGATTCTTAGGGTATATTTCCAGCAGCAGAATGGCTGGGTCCAAAAGCAGTTCCATTTTTAATTTTTTGAGGAAATTCCATACTGTTTTCCACAGTGGCTGCACTAGTCTGCATTCCCACCAACAGTGCACACTATTGTGTTCCCTTTTCTCTACATCCTTGCCAGCATTTGTTGTTTATTGATTGATTAATGATGGCCATTCCGAAAGGTGTGAGGTGAAATCTCATTGTGGGTTTAATTTGCATCATGTCTATGGGCCAATGTATGTCCTCTTTGGAGAAGTGTCTATTCAGGTCCTTTGCCCATTTTTTAATTGGATTGTTTGTCTTTCTGGAGTTGAGTCACATTAGTTCTTTATACATTTTGAAGATTAAACACTTGTCTGATGTATCACGGACAAACATATTCTCCCACATAGTCGATTTCCTTTTCATTTTGATCATGGTTTATTTAGCCATGCAGAAGCTTTTTAATTGGATGTAGTTCCACTTATTTTTTCCTTTATTTCCCTTGCCCTAGGTGATATATCAGCAAAAATATTGCTACAGGGATATCTGAAATTTTACTGCCTATGTTGTCCTCTAGGACTTTTATGGTATCATGACTTCTATTTAAGTCTTTTACCCATCTTGAGTTTATTCTGGTATATGGTGGAAGTTTGTGGTCTAGTTCATGTCTTTGCATGTACCAGTCCAGTTCTCCCAACACTATTTATTGAAGAGGATATTTTTACTCTGTTGCATGCTTGTGCCCACTTTGTCAAATATTAATTGACCACAGAAACAGGTTTATTTTTAGGCTCTGTATTCTGTCTCACTGATCTATGTGTCTGTTCTTATGCCAGTACCAGACTGTTTTGATTACAGTGGCCTTATAGTATAGCTTGATATCAGGTATTGTGAACCCTCCAACTTCATTCTTCCTCCTCAAGATTGCTGAGGCTATTCATGGTCTTTTTTGGTTCCATGTACATTTTTGAAATATTTGTTCTAGATCAGTGAAATGTGCCACTGGTATTTTAATAGGAATTACGTTGAATCTATAGATTGTTTTGGGTAGTATGGACATTTTAATGATGTCAATTCTTCCAACCTATGAACATGGTATATGTTTCCATTTATTTGTATCTTCCTCAATTTCTTTCTTTAGTATTCTATAGTTTTCTGAATACAGGTCTTTTACCTCCTCGGTAAAATTTATTACAAGGTACTTTATTTTTCTTGCTGCTATAGTAAATGGGATTTTTTTCTAGTTGCTTTTTCTTTCTTTTTTTCCCAACTCCATAGAACTAAACACCATTTTTTTCTTTTTTTAATAATTATTTTATTGCTGTTCAATTACAGTTGTCTGCATTTTCCCCCAACCACTCCCCCAAACCCCAGCCAAACCCACCTCCCCCCCTTGCTTCAATCCTCCCCCAGCTCCGGTTTTGTCCATGTGTCCCTCATAGTAGTTCCTGAAAACCCTTCCCCTCACTGTTTCCTCCCACCTCCCCTCTGGTTACTGTCAAATTGTTCTTAATTTCTATGTCTCTGGTTATATTTTGTTTATTTTTTCTTTTATTGATTATGTTCCAGTTAAAGGTGAGATCATATGGTTTTTATCCCTCACCACCTGGCTTATTTCACTTAGCATAATGTTCTCCAGTTCTATCCATGTTGTTGCAAAGAGTAGGAGCTCCTTCTTTCTCTCTGCTGCATAGTATTCCGCCGTGTAAATGTACCATAGTGTTTTGATCCATTCATTTACTGATGGGCACTTAGGTTGCTTCCAGCACTTGGCTATTGTAAATTGTGCTGCTATGAACATTGGGGTGCATAGGTTCTTTTGGATTGGTGTTTCAGGGTTCTTGGGATATAATCCCAGCAGTGGTATTGCTGGGTCAAAAGGCAGTTCCATTTTTAGTTTTCTGAGGAAATTCCATACTGTTTTCCCAGTGGCTGCACCACTCTGTATTCCCACCAACAGTGCAGTAGGGTTCCTTTTTCTCTATCCTAGTTGCTCTTTCTGATAGTTCATTGTTGGTGTATATAAACACCATCAACTCTGAATATTGACTTTGTATCCTGCTTTTGCCAAATTCACTTATTAGGTTGAGTAGTTTTTTGGTGGAGACTATAGGGTTTTCTATGTACACAATCGTGTCATCTGCAAACAATGACAGTTTTGCTTCCTCCTTTCCAATTTGGATGCCTTTTATTTCATTTTCTTGTCTGATTGCTCTGGCTAGAACTTCCAATACTATGTTGAATAAGAACAGTAAAAGCAGACACCCTTGTCTTGTCCCTGATCTTAAGGGGAAAGCTTTTAGTTTTAGCCCATTGAGTATGATGTTGGCAGTAGGTTTTTTGTATATGGCCTTTTTATGTTGAAATATGCTCCCTCTATTCTCACTTTGCTGAGTGTTTTTATCATAAATGGGTGCTAGAGTTTATCAAATGATTTTTCAGCACTTATTGATATGATCATGTGATTTTTGTCTTTCATTTTGTTTCTGTGGTATTATGTTTATTGATTTGCAAATATTGTACCATCCTTGCATCCCTGGGATGAACCCCACTTGATCATGATATATGATCTTTTTAACATATTGCTGGAACTGGACTGTCAACATTTTGTTGAGGATTTTAACATCTATGTTCATCAGAGAGAATGGCCTGTGGTTTTCTTTCTTTGTTGTGTCTTTACCTGGTTTTGGAATTTAATTCTAGCCTTGTAAAAACAGTTTGGGAGTCTTCCCTCTTCTTGATTTTTTTGGAATAGTTTAAGAAGGACAGGAGTCAGTTCTCTGAATGTTTGGTAAAATTTACTGGTGAAACCATCCAGTCCAGGACTTTTGTGTGCCAGGAGTTTTTGATTACTGCTTCCTTTTCTCTAGTTCTTATCAGTCTATTCAAGCTTTCTGCTTCTTCTTTGCTGCTTCTTTGGAAGATTGTATGTTTCTTGAAATTTATCCATTTCTCCAGGTTGTCCAATTTCTTGGCATATTTTTTTTGTAGAAATTCCTTATAATCCTTTGTATTTCTGTGTTATCAGTTGTAATCTCTCCTCTTTCATTTCTAATTTTATTTATTTGGGTCCTCTCTCCTTTTTTCTTGATGAGTTTGGTTAAAGGTTTGCCAATTTTGTTTTTTTCAAAGAACCAGCTCCTGGAATTCATTGATTCTTTGAATCTGCTGTTTCTATGTCATTTAATTCTGCTCTGATCTTGATTATTTCCTTCCTTCTACTCACTCTGGCCTTTTGTTGTTGTTGTTTCTCTAGTTCTTGTAGGTGTAGGGTTAAGTTGTTTATTTGATATTTTCTATTTTCTTTAGGTAGGCCTGTATTGCTATGAACTTCCCTCTCAGGACAGCCTTCGCTGTGTCCCATAGGTTTTGGGTTGTTGTGTGTTAGTTTTCCTTTGTTCTCAGATACTTTTGGATTCCTTCCTTAATTTCATGTTAACCCATTCATTATTTAATAACATGTTATTTAGTCTCCATGTATTTGAATGTTTTTGAGTTTTTTCCTTTAGGCTGGTTTCTAGTTTCAAGCCACTATCAAGATGCTTGATATAATTTTAATTTTCTTGAATTTTTTGAGGTTTGTTTTGTGTCCTACTATGTGGTCTGTTTAAAAAAGATCCATATGCATTTGAAAAGAATGTATATTTTGCGTCTTTGGGGTGAAATGCTCTGTAAATACCAATTAAGTCCATTTCATCTAGAGTGTCATTCAGTGCCACAATATCCTGTTGATCCTTTGTTTGAAAGATCTATCCATTGTTGACAATGGGGTGTTAAAATCCCCTAAGATGAGTGTGTTGCAGTTGATCTCTTTCTTAAAACCCTCCGAGATTTTCCTTGTGTATTTAGGTACTCCTATGTTGGATGGCATACATGTTTACAAGGTTTATATCCTCTTGCTGGACCACTCCCTTAAGTATTACAATGTGTTCTCCTTTGTCTCTGTGTTACAGCCTTTATTTTGAAGTTTATTTTGTCTGATATAAGTATTGGTACCCCAACTTTTTTTTTCATGTCTGTTTGCTTGTAATATTTTTTTTCTATCCCTCCATTTTCAGCCTGTATAGACCTTTTATTCTGAGGTGGGTATTTTGTAGGCAGCATATATGTGGGTCATGTTTTCTTATCCATTTAGCTACCCTATGTCTTTTGAGTGGAGTGCTTAATCCATTTATATTTAAGGTTATTATTGATAAGTGTTTATTCATTGCCATTTTCCCTTTGTACCTCTATTCCCCTCTCTCTTTATCTTCTTAAAGCAGTCCCAGAAATATTGAAACACTTCACAAATTTGCATGTCATCCTTGTGCAGGGGTCATGATAATCTCTGTATTGTTCCAATTTTAATATATGTGCTGCCAAAGTGAACACTCAGCTTTTAGATTAGAGACTATTTCTTAATGGTTTTAAATACACTTGAATTTTAAAATTCAAGCCACATTAAATGGTTTTAAGTAAAAAGTGAAAGTTTCCTACCCAAACCCATACATCTAGGACCTTACTCCAGGAATAACCATTCTTCAGCAGTTTTTGTTCTGCTGGAAGAAGTGTCTAGTGTCAAGGTCAAACAGACTCCCGTGTCCTGTTCCAGTTTGCTTCATATTTAGACCATGCTTTTCTTGAGTGGTTTTGTTTTTCCTGGAGTCTTAATGGACTTTTCCCCCTTTATTTCAAGAAGAAACATATGACTTTTCTATCACATCAAGAAGATCTTCTTGCTTCTTAATTGTCCTATTTTGAACTAAAATCACTCCCTTCTTGAAGTCCTTCTTTTGATTCTTCTGACTTCCTATTCCAATTTGGACTAATCGTGTGCTGGGTTCACCATACCACTGTATCCAGTTATTTCTTCAAACATACTCCTCTTGGACTAGGTCCAGAAAGCATGCATGTCTTCTAACTCTTAATTCCTTTTATGCTTTTCTGCAGTTCATCTATAAGTAATGCTTTTTAGAAAGTGCATAGCATGTAAATTTATTGAGCATTTGAAGATCTGTAAGTCTTTATTTCACATATTTAATCAATAATTTGGCCAGCTATAAAATTTTACATTCAAGGTAACTTTCTTCTGAATTCTAAAGGCATTGTCATTCAAAGTGTGGCATTCAAAGTGTGGTTCACAAACAGCAGCCTCCCTGAACCTGAATGTGAACAAGATGCCCAGGGATATATGGGTGAGTTCCAGTTGAGAAGCACTGTGCCAGCCTTCATCGCAGCTGCTCAGAGGGCTGAGGTCAATCAGACCCTCTCTTCCTCAGCCTAAAGTCTGGGGAACCTCTGTTTGTCCTTGGTGCCTTAGGCTCTGACCTCTGCCAGTGGCTCCTGTCAATGCCAGACTTGTTCCTTTCTTCAGGTCCAGGAAATATTCTTTCACTTCTCTGCTTTTATCTGCCTCTCTGCAGTATCTGTTTCCCCTTCCTAGGTTGATCATGTCTCCTGGCCTTTTCCTTTTATTTCTCTTCATTTGGTTTTTCTGATCTTCATTCTGAGAAGTTTCCTCAAATGTATCTTTTAGCACTTATATTGGATTTTTAAAATTTTGTGGACATTTAATTTATTATAGTACTGTTCTCTGCACTATGGTTACTATGACTTAAAGAACTATGGTTCTTTGAATGCTCATTTTTCATAGCATGCTATTCCTGTTTAATGAATAAAATATCTCACATCTCTAGGGACACTAATTAGTTTTAGTTTCTCAGTTGTGTTTCCTCCAGCACCAGTGTTCATCTTTCTCCTTCTTTTCCATGTTGTTGATTTTCCTTAAGTGTCTGATCATCCTCATTAAATATCACAGAACCACTATTCATTTGCTTAAGTATGATGATGGTATTATACTTATGTAAGAAAATGGCCTTATTTTTAGACAATGAATGTTGCAGTTTTTAGGGATGATGTGTCTGATATCCACAATTTAAGTGGTCACACACACTCAGAGACAAAGACAGAGACAGAGACAGAATAAGGAACATTTAAACATAGTGAAGTATAAGGGGGGACCCCAAAAATCAGAATTTATTTATAAAAAAATATATATTTGTTCTTACATGTTTAAACTTCAGTCACCTTCAAAGTACTCTCCATCTGATGTAATATATCAAGATATTTTCCCATTGCTCAGAATAGTTTTTGAACTTGAACTTTGATGCTTTTTAGTGCTTCCACCATTTTTTGTTTTACCTCTTCTGTATCAGCAAAATGTTTCCCTTTGAGGACTTTTTTCATCCAGGGAAACAAACAAACAAAAATGTCACCTGGGCTGAGATCAGGTAAATAGGGAGGGTGGGGCATGGGGGTCATGCCAGTTTTGGTCGAAATCTGCTGAGCACTCAGTGGGACGTGGGCAGGTGTGCCCATAAATCACCCATCGTGAAATGAGCAAACCTGTTGAAAGACTTTTCAAAAAAAATTCACTGAAGCAAAATGCTGCCTCTTACAACACCACCAGCTGATACACTGATACAGATGGGTTCCTGGAACACTCACCTAGTAAGGGAAGCCTATATTACAAGGGGCCCACCCTCCACAAGACAATTCTGGTGTTTGGGGGGTCCCCCTTGTACTAACATTTAGAAGTGGAGAATATTCTGAAGTGTTATTGTACTAGACTTTCCATTTTTTCTTTTGAAATTTCTGTTTGAAAATTTTCATAGTAAAAGTTGGAAATAAAAAAGAAAAAAAAAATCTCCGAATATCCTAGGGAAAATATGTTTGGGGCCTGAAATCCCTAAGGGATCAGCTTTCTTATAGGAAACCAGATATCTACATGGTTTTTAAGCAACTTAGGCTATAGGTCATTTGCATTTGTGCTTACTGCGGTGCTTGCAGAGTGATGAACAATGCATGCACAATGTCTGACTGATATTCTTCAGGAAATCTGCCCAAGTGGATTGGGAAGGCTCCTATCCTAGTGAAACTCTAATGAAGTAAAAGAAAGTGAAAATGGGATTTCATGGATGTGGGTAGTAATTGGATTTGGTGGAGGATATGATTAAATTTCACCAAAGGCCTCCAACCCCTGCCCCAGGAACATAATGAAAGGGTCAGAAGACCTCCTGACTTGCTGAAAGGGAACTGTGTGAAGCCTGCAGAGACTCTAAAGCACGTGCCTGATCTGTCCACAGCTCTTCAGCCATGGAATGGCAGACACAGCACCTTTGCAATCTCTAGAGTCTCACCTTCAGGCAGAGGGCTAGACGTGCTGGAGTTAATACAGAATGCCGTGGACTCATTGATCAGTTTCCGAGCCCTGGTTTCCTGAAATTTTCATCTCTACTTCAGAAAGTGGGATCACAGCAGAGTCCAATCTGGAGAAGGGGTGCCTCCTCAGTATGGGCAGGTTCCAACACTCAAGCGCAAGGCCAGCTGACCAATGCAGAGCACCAGCACCACCCTCCCCACCATCTTGTGGGTGCTGGGCAGCCTGAAAGCTCTGGAGACAAAGGCAGGCATGTGAACTGACAGGTTTCCTGTTACAGGGTGTTGACAATGGGCAGGCAGAAGGGCTGACACCCCCCGCCCCCACACAAAGCTAATGTACTCAGAGGTCTTGGGTTCCCACTTAGTGTCCTCCCCGGGTGGTTTCCAGAGCTGGTCAAGTGGTCTGACGTGGGAGGCCGGCCATCTTGCTAATAGGCAGCTTCACAGAAATGCCTGTTCTCAACCCCTGTGACTCAGTGTCTTTCCAGAGATATCCACAAGAAACATCTCCCACCTCAGCCGTGTCCACTAAGTTCATCCACCACGACCATCCCATTAACCTTCCATTCTCCAGGAATCTCTCAAACTCCTGGTCCTCTGACGGCCCCTCTCCCAGCACCATCAGTGCCCCTGAGAACTGCTCCGTTCTATTTTTTCTTCCAGTTATTTCACAGGATTTTGAAGAGGGAGGAGCAGCATGGTGTTCATACCATCATCCTGAACCAAGAGTCCTCCCCTGGTTTCTAGTCTTCCCCTTTACACTGCAGCATCCAAGTATCTTCCCTCTCATTCTTGATGCCTTGCAGTTGCCTCACCACCCCTCCACCACCTTTCATCCTCCCTCTTCTTAGCGGTAAGTCAGGAAAGTCAGGACCATGCCTGGTCTCATGACACCACTGCAGAAAAGAGTTAACCCAGCAGGCCTGAGCCTGCTGTTCTCAGAAAAGCCTGCATGCAAAGTTGGTCCCGGGAGGCATCAAGAACTTAGATGTGGGGAGGGTTCCCAGAATTCCCTGACTGGTCAGTGTGGTTCCTGTGCTTAAGCTGTGCAAAGACCATGGTTTATGTTACCACCTGTTTTCCTTCTGAAAGTGGAACTTTGATACATGCGAGGGAGAAGGTGCCCAATAAAAGCTATCATGCTGGGTCTCCAGTGAGCACCCCTGGTAAACAAGACTTCACCTGGGCCATCACCAGCCAGTGCTGCAGAATGAAGCTTGTCCTGTGTGACTCCAGTGGGAGGGGCATGCACACTCCCAGTTGGCTTCAGACTTTACCCCTTTGCCTTTTCCCCTTGATGGGTTTGTGTTTTACCCTTTTGCTACAATAAATCATAACCAGAATTACAACTCGATGCTGGGTCCTGTGAGTCCTCCAGAGAACTGTCAAGCCGGGACCCCTGACACACACCACACTGATTATAAAATGTGTTTCCTATTCTTGGTAAGCTTCCATTGTGGCTTGAGGTATTGTACTATTTGTCCAGCACGTGTTGAAAAGATGTCTGTCTGGGAAAATGGCCAAAAAGGTCTACACAGCCTGGTTTTAGGAGCTTTGGTGACCTCCTTCCTGGCAGACAGTGAAACTTCTGTCCTCAGCCTGGGCCCTGAAGCCATATGTGGGTTCTTACTGCACATGGGCTCCACCTGCCCCTCCGTGCCGGCACATGTCCCCAAGCAGACGGCCCTGTGTCCCTGCACAACTGCCCTCCACGGTCAGAGTCCTGCACTTGCACGTCCCTGCTCCATCCACAGGACAAACAGCCAGCAGTCCCTGTTTCTCCGCATACTTCCACTTTGGTTCACAAAATTGTGAACACTCCCACATTGAAGTTACACAGCCTTTCTGCAGGACCCACAGAGAGACTTGCAATTAAAGCTCTTAATCACAACTTCGGGGTGAGACGATGTTGAGCTGCATGCTTGAGTTTAAAATCCACGCTAAGAGGAAGCTGTTGAAAAACCTCACACACTTGGATCACCAGCCAAGAGGGAAATGTGAATTAGTGCAATGTCTAAATTACTGAATATTCTTAACCAGTGTTTTTAAGTAGCAGGGACACAAAAGACAAGACAGTTTTAAATCTACCCAAATTAAACAACTTCTTAAATAATTCCCCCCACATCATGTTCTTTACTATAGATATCTTTATAAGTTAAAATAATAAGTGG